AGGTTATTCTAAAATTCACGACCTAAATTTAGTCATCCACTTTGGTCACAATCAGCTACTGTTTAATAACGTTCGAGTCTTTGCACACTCACCTCAATATGCATATTTTCCATACTGTTCTCTATAAATATCCTAATGTGCTGACAAGAAGAATTCTTTTGCCGGTGATCATTTCCTTTCTTAAAGTCTTATTGAGAGACTTCAAGGTGTGACTCCGGAAGGGGGGGGGGGGGAGATGATAACCTACATGCTAGTCACTCTAAGGGGTTAAAGGTTAAGTTAAGTCCTCCAATAATGTATTCTATTTTCTGCTCTGCAGTGAGTCAACTTTTTTCTGTTCTGTGATCCCCTCCAGATTATAGTTTTGTGGACAGCTGATGTTCCATTTGCTCATAGTAGAAAATGGCCACAAGTTGGTGTTCCATTGGTGATCGTGAGACCGGAATCTAAGGTACACAGAAAATTACATCAATAGCACTCGACTGCATCTCATGTGCCACTTTTTTGTGTTTATGTCATCTGTGATCTATTACTTAACAGACCCATGGCAACATTGAATCTTTTTGTTAATTATATATGTTATTGTACAGAAACGTCCACCAGATGTGACTAAATTTTCGTGTTGACTCTTCTTTGCAGACAGGAAACAGTCGTTTTGTGCCCAGAGCAGTAATAGAAACATCTGCAGTTTTGTCCCTAGATGAGGATATCATATTGAATTCTGATGCGGTAAATATTAAATTATGATCATAGATAATACTCTTTTTTCTCCCAAGATCTCATTAGTAATTCTCACTATGGTCTGCCATATGGTTCTTAAGATGTTGCTTCAGAGAATTTAGTATATTATCAGCTAATAATCCTCTAATTAATATTTTTCTTTATTCTCATCACTTGTCTGCTTGATGTTGTATTGATAATGTGAGGAGAAATTTTGTCTTGATCACTCATGGGAGTTAGAGGAAAAAACCAAATCCTAGGAGATGCCATACTAGGGAAATGAGAATTCTGTCTTTTATCTAATCCCTGAAAATCACCAACAGAACTGTTAAGTGGTCATGAATTTTTGTATTCTGGCCAGAGCTAAATGTAAAAACCCTGTGGATTGTTGGCAGAACATTAAAACAAAGTAGGAGTAGCTACAGTACAAACATTCAACAATTTGGTAATTTTGTTGGTAGAACTTCACAAAGATATGTATTCAAACTTATACAGTTCAAAATGACTAAAATGAAGCACACATGATTCCCTGTAACTCTGAGTTTTTTGCTTATGTACTCGTCAGACAGATTTAATGAAAGATTTAATGAAAAACATTCTTGTAGGCTAATTTATATATATAAAAAAGATAGCTGCTGATTACAATAGGTTGTTGTAATCAGCAGCTATCTTTTTTATATATATAAATTAGCCTACAAGAATGTTTTTCATTAAATCTGTCTGACAAGTGCGTAAGCATGAAACTCAGAGTTACAGGGAATCATGCGTGCTTCATTTTAATCATTTTGAACTGTATTTTGCTCTACACTCATGTGTATTTGCTACAATTTCCCACAATTATTCAAACTTATAAAAATTTTCAAGTGGTTTGATACTTAACTCCCTGTTACTTTTCCATCCCTTAGATTGATTTTGCCTTTTCAACATGGAGGACATTTCCAGATCGAATTGTGGGTTTTGCAGCCAGAAGCCATTACTGGAACAGTGCCAGATCACAGTGGAGCTATTCTTCCATTTTGAGTGATCAGTTCTCCATTATTCTGACCAATGGAGCTTTCTATCACAGGTAATGTTCTCGCAGAAAATTCTTAGAGAGTAGTTGGATTAGGTTAGAGGCTTTGATTGTTTTTTGACTGAGTTAAATAAAAACTAAAATCAACATTATCACAATGGGTAATCAGAACCAAAGAAAACTTCACAGAGTTAATAAGAACTTAACCCTTTAACTCCCATGAGTGACCAAGAAAGAATTTCTCCTTACAATATCAATACAATATCAACCAGATAAGTGATGAGAATAAAGAAAAAGATCAATTTGGGGATAATTAGTTGATCTAATACCAAGTTCTCTGAACTAACATTATAAGAATTCAATGGTTGACAGTAAGGAGAATTAAAATTTTGATCTGGGAGTTAAAGGGTTAATGTGATGAAGCAATGCAACTGTACAAGAAACTCAACCATATTGAAAACTGTTCCATAATACATAGGCAGTCATTGAAAGAAAACTATGAAATGGTGATTTCCCTAATGATTTTCTACAGGTGTTAGTAATACATGCAAAGTAGTAAAGACCACCGACCGGAAATAACCATCTGAATAACAACAAGTGAATAATTATGAACAAAATTAACCCAAATGTTTATTAGGCTGTTCAGACTATTCTGCACTTAAAGTATAAACACAAAAACAAAAGCTGCCTGGAGGGATCGGAGTCCAGATAGGCATTTTAACCATTTAATCTCATAATTCTTTGCATTACTTTTGTTTACTGCCTTGCCTGATGGGATGATCATTTACCCCCTTCTCTCCCCTCCCCTCCTGCATGGGATTACCGTATTTACCCGTGTATAATACGCACTTTTTTCTATAAAAATAACCATCAAAATAGCAGTGCGTATTATACACGGTTTCTATTGTTTTTGAAGCATGTCCTAATTTGCATACGTTAAAAACACAGCAAAGAAAGTAACAAAAGCCTAGTAGTAATTGGTCTTTATTAGCTTGAGTTAAATAATCTACAGATGAAACATTTTCAATTTCGATCCACAAACGTAACAAAGGAAGTAATGAAAGCCTAGTTGTAATTGGTCTTTATTAGCTTGAGTTAAATAATCTACCAATGAAACATTTTCAATTTTGATCCATAAATAAATTTAGTAGAGTATTTAAGGAACAGCTGACGAGATAAACATTACGACCGTATTACTGTAATCACAAGCGATAAGAAATTCGAAATGGTAACGAAACTTACCACTGCGAAACGTCAGTTGTAGGAAGAATTAACGGTTTTTTTGCTGTGAAAACTTTTTTTTTATGAAGAATTTGGTCAAAAATTGGGGTGCGTATTATACATGGGCACGTATTATACACGGGTAAATACAGTAATCCTCTGGATGGGCTGGTTCTTCCTTGGATCTGATGTACCCGTCTCCATGAAATGTAACTTCCCTGGATGGAATATGTTTATTATTGTTTAAAAAGTATCAGCTAGCCCTCATTTACTCCTCTTTGTGAAGGCAGTAAGTTCCACTTAAGAGTGAAACACAGGACCCTGGCTATTTCACAAATTACATTCACTTTTGAACACTTTCTAATTTTGAACAATCTCATCCATTTTCCAGGTATTACAATTATCTGTACACTCATAATCTTCCACCAAGGGTTCATCGCATGGTTGAACACCATGGTACATGCGAGGATCTTGCCATGAATTTCTTAGTCGCAGACATCACACGAAAACCACCCATCAAAGTCTTGGCACAGCAAAAATTCCAAGACTTGAACAGCGCAAATACAAGGTATTCCAAGCTGGTGCAGCTCTTTGAACAGCGGCAGAGATGTATGGAGTCTTTAGTTGATATTTTTGGTTACATGCCGTTGGTCAAGTCATATGTTAGAATGGATCCTTCACTCCACAAGGATCCCGTGTCAAATTTACGCAAACAGTACAGGCTGTTGGAATAATAATCACTAACATGGGAAATTCACATAAATTTGCCCTGCTAGTAAAGATGGTTTCTAACCTGAATTTTTTAGTGCAGTTTGGGGTTCCAAAGAATAACCCAGTGGTTCCAAAATTCTCTCTGAATGTGCTAAAATTTGACAATGGATGCTGCCATTTTGAAACGAGCTTTGCAATCTGTCAACGCATGTTAAAACCACAACATCCTTTTTAAAAAGATTGCCATGAGATTGAAAGAACAAAATTTGTTAAGCAAGATTCAAAATGACAGAAACCATACTCAAATCTTAAGCCAATTGAGGACAATTTTTGAAAGGTAAGCTCACTCTTTAAAATCTTAAAACTCCATTTTTGCTTTCAATATTCAATATTCAAGTTAAAGGAGGGTGTGCAGAGTGTGTAGCCATATTGTTATTCATACTGGTTTTTACTGTTTGTATTTTATTTTAAGAGATCAAATGGCCTACCAACTTAAAAAAAGTAATCATGTGTATGGGTTCAAACAAGGATTAGATGAACTGATAGCCCAAGGGTATGTTTCCAGACCTAAAAAGCTAGATCAAATTTTGAGATTTCAGGACCATGGTGAAAGTGTGTGTTCATCAGGACTGGAGTTGGCATGCATGGGCATTTGTGCTTGCAGGCCAGCTTCATGGCATTGGTTGCACAGGGACATTGCCCCCTTAAAAAACAAATAATCTAGAGTTATGACTTGATTTTAGCTTAGCTTGCAAAAAGACCCACTACACCAAGTGTTTAAGTTCTTCAAGGAATAGAGTGAACTGTGATGTGCAAACAGTCAGGGCCACTCTCAACTTAGCAATGAAATTTTGGTGAAACAAGTTTTAGTTGTAATTTCCTTTTTTTAGTTTCAATTTTTTTTTAAGAAAGCCAGTTGTAGCTCTTTCAATTTCAACTTTTTAACTTACCAACAGACACCCATAAATTAATTACAAGGTAAAGAAAAACAAGGGAATTCTGAAGAATGGTTCATTTGCGTCTGTCAGAAGTTTGGAGTTCATTAGACACACCCCTCTTCAATCTGTTAATTATAGTTTAATTTATTCATGTTAATGTGTACATTAATTTTTTTTTGTAACGATATTAACTCATATTCACTATGTATAGATTTCCAACCCTTGTACATAAGTTACAAAATAGTTAGTGTTTTTAAGTTTGAGGAAATTGTTAACAGATTCAAATTTGCCATTGAGGGAGTTTTACGACGAATTTGGTGTGAAGAATTTAAATGGTTCAATTTATTCAGGTGTATTTCTCGAACTATTTCAGAAAAAATTCTAAAAAATACTAAGGTTTTTTATTTGGATTCTCTATCATGTTCACTTTTGGGGAATTTTTGTGATATTATTATAAATGAAAGTCATGATTGCAGCTGCAAGCCCCCTACAGTTATTGTTTTTTAGGATATTTGAACAGTTTGAATCACCAGTGCTTCATGTATTTTTTCCTCGGGAAAACTTTTTGCAATAATTAGATTATTGTTTCAGAATTACTGAAAATGATCTACCCTAGCCTTCCCTAGATTTTTTTTTCTTTTACCATCAGTATTACTAATGATTCTCATCTACAAAATTATTAACATTGTACATTTACGTTAAAATGTCCAGAAAATGTTTATTGTTTAAAGAAAAGTTATACGTTTATGAATTCCAAAATACCATTCCATTGATAGTTTTTACCGCATCATGTCATTGATGTTATGAAGCAGAGGAGAAAAAAAAAAGGTATTTTTGAAAGCGTATCATATTTTTTCATATGTACTGTAATTTTGATACGTTTTTGGAATTGCCAAGGAAGCTTTGTTGAATCAGTTAACAGTAAATAGAGGTCTTTAACCCTTCAACTCCCCCAAGTGTTTAAGACAGAATTTCTCCTTACAATAATACTGTGATATCAATCAGACAAGTGAGGAAAATAAAAGAAAATGTAAATTAAGGAATAATTGGTTGATCCAATACCAAATTCTTCAAACTAACATGATAAGAATATTGTGACAGACAGTAAGGAGAATTGCTAATGAGATTTTGGGAGTGAAAGGGTTTAAGAAGTGCTCTAGAGTTATCTGTTGGTTTCTCGGGTCATTCATCAAATTTACTTGGCTATTCTTAAGTAATGGTCAGCGTTGATAACGTAAAAATCACCAGGACCTTTGTAAAATTGGTTCAGAATTTATGTATTATGGTTCAAGATTAAATAAATCTATTTATGCGAGATATTGATCGTGTTCCTTGGGGTTGGGGAAGGAATGTGTGAAAAGTGAGAATACTGGATTAATTCGGTCCAATTTGAAGGGATTTCTAAAAATAATGTCTCCATGTTTTTATTTCCATTTCTAACATTTCCTTAAAGTTTTGGTCCTCTATAGCATAGGTTGTATCCTCTGGTGTATTATTTTCAATATGAAACATTACCAGAGGGCAAAACATTAAAAAAAAATTATTATTTCTCTAGTTCAGATTTTATGTAGAGTTTTTCCTGGGACATCTCATTGCAGGTCAATGAAATTGTCAGCTATTAGCCTACAGAACAGGTGAGATCTTTTGGCGCATTTAAGGCGAACTAAGGAAAGTGCGAGGCGAACACGAAGCGCGAGTCATGCGCGAGGAGAAAGGTGCGAAAAAACAATTTTGTTCATGATATATTTGTCCTCTCCTCGCGCGTGATTCGTGCTTGCCTTCGATCGCCTGAAAAGTCCAAATAAATTCGCCTGTTCTGAAGGCTACCCATGTAACTAGCAAAGTCTATCCGGAAGCAAACTGTCGCACAACTGAAATAAAACTGGAGTGAGGCCTCATGAAAACTATATCCAGATGTTGATTTGAACTGTGTTTGTACAATGTCTTTTGCAGAAGCGAAAATGATAACGAATCCTTCTCTACCCAATGAGCGTGTTCTTGAATAGAAGAACTCTGCTTCTCTGCCACATTCCCATGGATAACTAATTTGACCGCCATCAAGTACTCAAATACGTATACTCTACTTGAATCGAGTATTCTTACTCCTGAAAGAAAAGCAGAGAAGACGTGTTGCACAAAGAAACTGTAATTCGATCAGATGGTAATTCAACAAGGACGGAAGAACTTTGAAGTAGACTTGGTGTAGCAGCCGCGCGATTCAACGGGGCGCGAGAAATCACGCGCGTAAAACAGATAGTCAGCTTCTCGCGCGCATGTTACTTACGTCTGGATAATGCATGGATATTATAGGAAGAAGTGACATATTAATAACTTCTGGGGTGTAAAGGAAAATTCCGGACTTTGACTTTAATTTTTGAACAATAATCTTACATATCCAACCTGCTTGTATCAGTGACGTCACCATTCACGTTGTAAGGAGAGTAAGACCCCTGTGCAATATAGGGCGCAGACGAGGAGGCCTGTGGCTGCCTGCTGATGCCACCTGACTGTTGTGTACTGAGACTGACGGAAGTACGTCCGTATCTGTCCCCTGACAAGCTGTGGGTGGAGTCAGAGGTTGACAAGGTTTGGAGCGAGTGGTTCGAGCCTCCACGCACATTGCCCGCGCGACGACGAGCTGTGAACGAAAGGATAGAACAAATGAGCAAATGTCGGAGACTTCGTCATTCGTGCGTGACATATGTCAGAGGATAAGTGTGAACATTATGTCAAGAGCTAGAAGCACCGCCTGTTACGATTTTGGAACATTGATCGGTTTACATCATCAACGCAGCCTTGAATGACCTTTCAAATCAGTACTTAGCAACAACCAATCACAATGTAGAGAATATCGTATAAGAGAGTGATTTCTTACAAATTTTGCAGAGTAGCTTTTTACACACCCGTTGTAAATAAGCGAATACGAGAGTGGAACAAAACAGTTTGATTGAGTCTAGTTCGTTAGAATTCTATCTCTATTAAACGGGGCAAAGTTTACGAAACAAACACGAAAACCCAAGAACAAACTGTCAGTAATTGAAAGCAGCCCTCCAGAATCAATTAAATTTTACACACTACAACACACCGCAGTTGGAGTATCTTTCAAAACTACTTTATTTTGGATCTCACTTGAAATCACATACATATCAGACTATTTTCTAACGGCTTTATAGAGTGAAATAGAAGATTGGCACACCAGACTGCGAGTTTAGTGATCTTGTTACGAGATCTAGCCGGGTCGTTGTGTTGTTTTCTTGGGCAAGACATTATACTCTCCCCATGCCCCTCTCCACTCATGAGTTTAGAGGGGTATTGGTGAACAATCCTGGAAACCTAACGAAATGCTGGATACGGCTGGGGGGGGGGGGGAAAGGGGTGGTAGTGACTCGCAATGGACTAACATTCTATCTGGAGGGGGTATTGGGGCGAGGGGCCAACAATTCTCTTAGTCGTTTCATGTTCTACTCTTCGCTAGGTTGCTGACTTAACCTTTACTTTTTCCGAAGAAAGTTTAAATGTCTGTTAAGTCATAAGTTTCTTCCCACACCTTTATCCTGTTGCTGTTCGCCTGTTCTTAGTAGCGTTCCGTTTGGAAATTCTTGTCTTAAACCAGTAATTCCCCAGTTACGGTCCGTGGTGCTGCTCAACTGAACTGTTGTCACCTATGAATTCAAAATATATTTTCGAGCGCTTTTCGATTGACTGTCGTAAACTAAAACCAAGGTAATGACAACAGCCAATCAGAGGAAAGGATTGTACCCGTAGAAACCGATGACATCTCAAAGTAAAAACAAACCAAAGCATCTGAAAAGTGAGAAAACGCGGGCGACCAAGTCGTGTTTGTTTTAGTTTTACATCTGATTGGTGGAGAGAATGGCACGAATTTAATGGACCAATCACAGAGCAAAGTTAAGCAAAGCCAACCCAATCTGGGTATTCCATTGACACTCGACTGAAAATTTCTCCGAAGCGCTTTTCAATTGCGTTTCGCAAAACCAAATCCGAAGTAATCACAAGGTCCAGTCAAAAAAGGTAACAAAACAGACAAACAAGGAACCAAGAGGATGGCAAGGTGAAAATAAATAGACAGCCCGTAGATCGAGGAAATGAGAGTTTAGGGCCTTTATTTCCCTGGTTGAAAAGAGTGGCGAGAAAAATTTCTTAACCAATCGCAGAACGAAGTAAACCAAAACCAATAGATTCCTGGGTTACACCTCAAACACTGTCACTTTGTCAATTAGCGTAATGAATGCGTTCACATAGAAAATCTGTTTTACAAAACTCATCAGTTTTAGGATTATATTTTTTCAGATTAAGTTACCCGAAGCGGAGCCTGGGAACGTGTTGTCACGATTCCTGGGAGACTGGGTTCCAAAGCTGACGTCATGCTTTGCATTCCACTCTAGCGAAAAAAGATCAGGTAAGGGTTTTAAAACATGATCCTTGCAACAAGAGAGGGGAAAAATTCACAACCTGTAACACGACATAATCAGAACGCAAGAAAATGACAAATGGAGAACACATGCGATGGAGGAAGCTGGAGGTTTTCCACGAACCTGTTGTTCCATGAAATACAGCTCGGCTTTAGTTTTCTCGTCACTCGACACAGGGATCCCATCGATGCACAAAAGGTTGGGCATGCGGTAGACTAACAAGGGTCGGTGCAGAAGACGTCGAGTGACCTGGGATCGAAAAAGCACGTTCAAATAGAGTTTTTCAACTTCAAAAAAACACAGCAGTCAAACGTCTGCGCATGCGCGAACCTTGTAATGACTAGGTGGTGTGTTTTCAGGCGGTCAGAACCAAGTTGCCTTACGCGAGTTACAAACGACTACACAAGCCAGTAAGTCATGGTGTTTTAAAAGCGTACACCTTTTTTTTGGTAAAGCTCGAAACAGATAGGTGAATCAACAGGATACCCAACCTCGTTCCCAGGGTCTCTCATCTTCCTACCCCCTGGAGCTCCAGGGGGCGGGAAGATGAGAGACCCTGGGAACGAGGTTGCAGGATACCTGTACTTGAATAACCTTTGAGTCCGATAAGTCTCCAGTTTTCCTTTTTTTCTACTTTTGCTTCCTTTTACAGATTGTCATGAACTTAATTCCTTCGCTTATTTTGCAATACAGCAGTTGGTTCTTATGTTTTCCTTGAAATTTCGCGTTTTTCCGTTTTCCTATGAAAATTCGCGGAAAATCGGCGCGCGGGCGGCCACAGTTGACCCCTTGCGCATGCCCGACATTTGACTGCTGTGTTTTGTTGTGATTGGCGTTTGATGTGAGGATAAAGACGCATAATGCGATCAAATAAACTTCAATCAAACTGAATGCAAGGACGCGATGAATTCAGTAGGACCATGATTTCACGCGAACCCTGAGTCGCCAAATAATAGACACAAAAAGTCCGAGGACAACCGGCATGTGAAACCTTTACCTACCGCGTTATTTATGACCGAAAGTTCAACCAGGTGCCTTAAACATTCCAGCTTTTCCAACTCTGCTATGTCCTAAAAAAAAAAAAAAGATCATCTTCGAAACTTAAAACGAAAAAAGCGTAAAACTGGCTCCCCGATATAAGTAAATGTGGGAAATAAATAATAATAATAATAATTGACCTGAAATAGCCGTGTTTAATTTAGGAGCGACTTTAGGAGACAACTCACTTGAATACGGTTCATTCCTAAGTACAACCGCTGGAGATTTTGAAGAGGCTCCAGGTTAGAAAGTTCTCTTATCCTGCGAAAAAGTCACAAAATGTGAGAAAAATAATTTTTTTTCAAGAGATGTACAGGGACAGCATTTTTTTTTTTAGACATCATTTAAAACCACGTCAAAAGTCTCTAAGAACGCTAACGTCAACGACCATCTCATTGGAAGGCTTTTACCCACTTTTCCCAAGGCTGTTTCATGAAATGAACAGTTCGCATGGCATTTTCCTACCATACAACGCGTTTTCTTCAGTGTGGTTTGTGAGAGCTTTAACCCTTCAACTCTCACGAGTGAATGAGTTCTAATTTTTCCTGACAGGTTACCCTTAAATTAATTATTAAGGTCATAAAAAGGAAGGAAATAATCATCAATTTTAGAAGCTCCTGATTCTCAAACAAATGTTCCTTGTCAGCAATATAAGAAATATAAAAATAACTGTACGGAGAATATTAATACTAATCTTAATTAGTATTAATTAAGATTAGTATTTTAATTAAAATTAGCTCAGTTGGTAGAGCACCAGTCTGCTGTGCGGGAGGTCGAGGGTTCGAACCCCAGGCCGGACCAACACTCAGGGTCTTAAAATAACTGAGGAGAATGTGCTGCCTTTGTAATTGTACCAGCAAATGGTTAGACATTCAAGTCTTCTCGGATAAGGACTATAAAACCGTAGGCCCCGTCTCCTGCATCTTCAGTGTTACATGGTCAGCAGGGGACGTTAAAGAACCCACACACTTGTCGAAAAGAGTAGGGGGCGTAGTTCCCGGTGTGGTGGTCTATCTGTTGTTTCATTGTACATTTCATGCATGGGCTGGGTGGGTGAGTGAGATCAAATATGGACTGATAGCGGCAGCCAGAGGCGCCTTTACAAGCTGACGTTCCATCTCACTCAATTAAAATTGTAAACCGCCTTGAGACAGTATGTGATATGTGCGGTATATAAATACACATTCATTAATCTTGGGGTGTAAAGAGCTGAACATATGACTTTCATAGATTCCTAGCCGTTTATTCATCACTTCACGGGTTTATTTAGAACCAATATAATGACCAGCTCCCATTTGGCTTGTCAGCTCAGTTGGTAGAGCGTTGCGCCGGTATCACAGAGGTCATAGGTTCAAATCCCGTACAGGCCTGAATTTTTTTCAGGCCTTATTTTCACTACTGCTCAAGTAGTGTGCATTACTGCGAGGATCACTTTCATTCACGTCTTCACCCGCAGTTCAAATATATGACTTTCAGATATTCTTAGTCTTTTAAAAGAAGACATAATTACAATGAAAGTTGAAGACACTAAAAAAAATAAAAAAATAAAAATAATAAAAAAAATTATTTCACCTGTTTTCTTCCATATGCAACTCTGTTAAATGCCATTGACTCATAAATGACGTGCTGGAAAGATTCTAGACAAAAAAATTCATAAATGAATAAATCAAATTACAAGCCAGGGCCCAGTTGTTCAAAGGCTAATTAGCAGTAACCCAGGGTTAAATTTTAATCCAGGTTTCTATATTTCTCTGTTCAAAAGCCATTTTGGAATAATTTTACCCAATATTTTTATAGCATTCAATTATCAAATTGTAGTCAAAAAGAAATAAACTGAATTTTCTCTTCAAGCTTTCAGATCTGAAATAAAATTTCACTTTAACCCCAGGTTATCTTAACCCAGCTTTGAACAACTCGGCCCAGATAAACAGAAACAGTTTGAGTAAAACAAAACTTAAACAAAACAGCTTTCACTTAAAAAAAAACTACATTTGTTACAAAGATGTCACCTTGATCTTATTTCGATCCAAAACAAGTTCGCGAAGTTCTTGGAGTCTTTCAAGTCCTTCCACCTTGTTTATTTCATTTCCTACAAGAAAAATGTTCGGATCAATATCACTATGTAGGCAATTGCCCACCTACCCCTCCCTTAGCCCAACAACAGTCAATTGATAACAATTTGGGGTTAATGTTGAGTTAGGGGAGGGGTAGGTGGGCAGATATTGATATTGAACCAAATGTTCCTAGTATTCACTTATGACAACGAACAAAGCTCCACATTGTCATTTAGAAAAGAAGTAGTGTACTTCGACTTCGTCTTTTACAATTTATGTAACACTAATATGTATATAATTTTATTATGTGCTATCATCTGTCACAGCTGTTAATTGTGTGTGTTCCTTCTAATAATATTTCATACTTATATATTAATCGAACCGTTTTCAGACTTCCCTATTATCAAAGAAATAGTGTTTTTCTCTTCTTTTCCTTTCTCTTTAAGTGTGCATTTGTTTAATCTCCCTGACCAGTAATTTATGTAATGTTTAAAAAACGAGCAGGAGTGTTTTATCGGGTTTAAAACCACGAGGCGTAGCCGAGTGGTTTTTGACCCGATAAAACACGTGCTGCGTGTTTTTTGAACGGCTTTAAAAACATTCTTGGAAAAGCGTGTGTCAAGAGAGTTCATAACAATTATGCTTTTGTGAACGTTAGAAATTAGCATACGAGAAAAACATTCATAAGTCACGTGCAGTGTCTTTATATCTGATAAAACACCGCATACTAATAAGGATGAGGTTTATCGATATAAAGTCACTGCACGTGATGTATTATCTACCATTTGATAGGTTAATGGGCTTATGAATTATTAATGAGTTTTTTAATTTCTATTTAATGCTTATGTCAACTGGCTGCCTGGCTTCGCTGCCTGGGTCCAATGGTTGTTCATACACTAATTTTATTTTCAATCTTTTCTCTTTTCCAATAGCTAATAAGACAGGAGAGTTTACAAATGAAGAGGATTATCTTAATTAGTTAATTAAACCGATAAAGATAACTATTTACCCTGTAGAAACAGAGCCCTTAGGTTAGTTAGTCGTGACAAGTGAAGGGCCGCCATATTGGTAATACCATTGTACCTGTAGACACACAAAAGAGAATATCACAATTTGTCCAAAAACCTTTCGTTTCAGTAAAAGATAACATAGATAAACTCCACCTCGGTAGTTCACACCACATCTACGAAATTCCAAAGGAAGCTAGGATATTTTGTCTTACCCCAAGTGAAGAACCTCGAGATTGGGGAGAACTGGAGTAAAATTCTCTGGGTTTGTAATCTCCAATCCCGAAGAGACATCACTGCCTCGTTTCGGCGCGTTTGCTGGTGACGTTGCTTTGGGCTTTGCGACCACGCATTCAATGTGATTATGATTAAGACAAAGGACCTGGGGAGGAAAAAAAGTAACGCAAATCTCATCAAACCTGGTTTTACACAATTGTTACAATAATTTTCACTAACATATTTCTTCTTTAGACTAGACTTCTTACAAAATAGTAAACATTAAATGCTTTGTAAACAGTACTTCAGATGATTTGAACACGAGAAATTTACTCACCTCGGTCTACGCGTTGGAGACACGGTGGTCTATATATGGCCTAAAAGTAATCGAGAGGTCTGGGTCCAAGCCCAAGCCTCCCTCCACCCAGGAGTGTAAATGAATACCATAGGTCATTACCTTAAGATTGATGAGGTTCACCAAGCCGCCAAATGAAGTGAGTGAGTTATGTTCAAGATTCACACTGAAATCGTAAAAGGAGAACCACGATTTGTTAAGAATCAAAGAAAATTACATCATGACAGAGTCAGCTGGGAGGATGCACTTTTTACACTCCTATGTGTGGAGTAAACTAGCTTCCTGATCGTCCAAGAACAGACTGTAAAATGAAGCTTTCGACAACTATTTATCTAGTCCCTCTACTGTTTCAAGCTCATTTCCAGTGTCCTCTTCCTTTCTCAAAGGGGAAAAGCCTAAAGACACTGGAAACGAGTCTACCCACAAATGTATGCACACAAGAAAGGCATCTTAGAACACAAAACGACGCCTGCTGGTACCTACCTTCTCAGGTTAAAAAAAGCGTCTTTAGTTCCAAGATCCACAGTTCTTAGTGAGCTGTGGGGTAAGTCAAGCTCTCTGAGATCGGAGAAGTTTGAGTGTCCCAAACGTTCGGCAATAAAATCAGGAGTTAGCCTGAGATACAAAACATAGGGAAATATAATGAGCTAATCATTCTTACAGCACGTTTTATCTGGTCAAATAAGTCTTTCGAAACTTTACCCATCGATTATTTTCCAAACATAAAACGAGATTACTGACCTTCCTCCAAACATATCTTTGGCCAGACTTCCCTCTGAAGTTTCCTTAAAAAGAATAGCAACGCCAATTGAAGAAAAATACACACACAAAATTCGATTTCTTTCTTAAAAGAGAAAAGAAGAAACTCTCTTAAGATTTCTACGGGGTAAGGCTTCAATTTCAAAGAAAATCGTTGAAAGCTACTAAGAAATTAAAAACATTGATTGGAAAGTAAACTGTCAATAAAAATTACGATGTCGTCAAAAATTTCAGTATCGATTCCTTTACAACCATTCCAAAGAAGAACCTTTTCTCGACCAACTGAATTAACATGTTTGAACTCTGTGGACCGCAAAGAGATAATTTGTCACTTGTTATATGAAGTAGGCTTCCTAAGGATTTGTCATACCACAGCTAATCCATCCAAAGCCTTGAGTGATATCAAGTGATAAATAACGAACAAACGGTAGTTCTGACCAGCGGTAGACATCGGATTACCGCATAGGTCCAGAATAAGAAGACTGGGGAGAGTCTAGGAAAAAGAAGGGATCCAGTTCAGATACATGTCAACAAAATTAACCCTTTACACCCTAACATCAGTATGCATATTCTCCATACTGTTCTCTATACATTTCTTAAGGTGCTGACAAGGAGAATTTGCTTAGCAATCAAGAGCTGCTTTATTTAGTGATCATTTCCTTTAATCTCATGAGCTTAATGCGTGATTTAGGGGTGATATTGTAAGGAGAAAGTAGATGCCAGTCACTCTGAGGAGTCAAAGGGTTAACGGCAAAAACGACCACATCACCATAAGAATGTTTCCATTCCTTTTTTACCTTGAGATTGTAAACCTCTCGTATATTCGCTAGTGTGTTGTTTCCTATGTAAAACTCCTGGAGGCTCTGACAATTCTGGAAAGGAAGACAAATTGAAAATAAATTTAGGCTTCATTTTTTCATGAAACTCTAACTTTTTCAAAGCTTTTTTGAAATAAATGGCAAGCCGTGACGTATCTTTCAGTGATGACAATACTATAAATACCTGCAAGCCACGTAGATGAGATATGGCGTTGTTTTCCACGGATAAATATCTCAATCGAGGAAGCTTCTCCAACATTCCGGTATCAAGAGTAGTGAGTTGATTCCCAGCCAGGCTTAGCCATGTTAGCATGGACTGCTTACTTAACCCTGACAGAAACCCAAAGAAATTGATCTCAGTAACACGGGCCGCGATTGGTTGATAAAGTGTCTCAGTATAGAACACTACCATAGATTGGCCAACTGACACCTTCAAATAACGCGACCTTTGATTGGTCAATGAAACCTAGTTTTACAAGCTCCTAATGTGTGTATATAAAGGACGTTATGTTGCTGAAGCAACATTTCATAGAAGACAACTTTGACAAACACTGAACTTTACCTTCAAACTTGTTAATGCAGTTGTTTTCAACAGAAAGCTCCTCCAAATGAACACAAGACTCGAGACCCTAAAGAAAAAGGTTTGTTTACAGATAACTTATGGAAGTTTTGGCGCAACTTTGGCGCACGCGTCGATGCGCATTTTGACTGACGAACTACAATGATTGGCTTTATCGCTCATCCAATCAGATCTCGATGACGCAATCTTTCGCAAGCTTATCTCTGGTTGCTCAAAGCACGTTCTAGAAAAAAACCGTCCGTCTTTGCAGGGAATTGACTACAGTTCTTTGATTGCTCAGAAAATTTTCATTAAGGTATAATTAAGTACAGAAAAGTTGAAGAAATTCCAAAATTTCCAGTTGTTCACGCACCTCAATCTTAGTAAGATCGTTGCCGTTGAAAGACGCCCATCGTAAATTTTCCAGTTGCTCCATGTTCGCTAATTTTCCAAGATGCTGATTATCGAGGTTCACCGTTGTAACCTAAAACACAGAGAAATGATTGTTCGTATCAGAACCAAACTTCGTCACCGACTTAGCCTGCCCATCACTCCTTCACTCTCAGTTGCTGAAGGGTGCAAGGAAGGAAAGGGGGGGGGGGGGAGGGAAGGGGGCGAGAGAGAGGAAGCATGATTATTTCTTTCAGTCCTCCCTCGGCACTGAAACAAAAAAACGAGGGGGGGGGGGGGCTTGGCAGTAGGACGGTTTCGTCTAGTCTTCGTTCCTTCCTGCGATCACTTCAATTTTCAATCGACTTTCCTGGTCAAAGCAAAAGAAAGCCTCAAACAGACCATTTACTAAGAGAACATTGTTTACAAAGATTACTCATTTTGACTCATACCTTGATAAACCATTGGCTGTCATCGTCTTGTAACTTAACAGGTCTATTTTGACTGCTGGCCAGGATAGCTTGAGCAGTCGGTACCAGGCTCAAAGTGCGCGGTTTGCTCTGGTCTGTCCGAGCATGCGCCAGAATAGCGAAAGAAGAAGGGCGGGAAGCGGCCGCCATCTTTAACGCTGTTGTCATCTCCTCGTCAGTGACTTGAACTCCATCCAAGTACTCCAGGTTTTTCAGTCTACCAAGAGCTCGCATTCTTAAAGTTTCGGGCTAGGAAATAACAACAGATTTAGCCTTCTTTTGTTTTCAAAGCGTTCAGAGCGTTAGTTTTTCAAACCATACCCAAGACATCCTGTTATTTTCTTTGACAAGACATTCAACACTCACAGAGCCTCTCTTTCCACTCAAGACTGAGAATACAGCACCGCGCACGTGTATTACACCATCTACACGCGTGTCAACCTTGTGTAATTCGTGGGACTTACACGTGCTTGCAATGCATGTGACGCCACGCGTAAAGTAGCAAAATGATTTAGGCGTTGTGGTTTACACTTGCAAACTATCGGGGAAACTGGCAGAATGCTAGGAATGAAGATGGACCAGCATCCCATACAGGGGGAGAACTAATACCCCTAGTCTTTTTTTGGTTCAGCTCCAACATTTCAGCTCCTACAGTTACAGTCATTATACCTCTGTGACGTTACCCCATTCGCTAACGAATAATAATCTGTACTCGTATCAAGTGGCTCATGCAGCCAGAGCTTATCCTGGTTTCCATAGCATGGAGCGATTAGGAGTATCACTACTCCCCCCTTCCCCCCCCCCCCCCGAATGGGAAAACAGTCCACTGGAACGTTACCCCCCAGCATTTCATCAGGCTTTCCTAGCAATTCGCTGGTACCTATTTATACTCGTGGGTTGGGAGAAGCTCTGTGAGAGGATAGTGTTTTGCTTAAGATCACAACACAATGACCTAGCCAGGTCTCGACCCGGTGTCCAGCGCTCTAACCATCACTCACTAACGTATTCGTGTTGGTAATTTATTCTTTCCCACTCACTAATGTATGCGAATTAATTATCAATGGCTCACTTTTTGCCAAGGATTATTGCGCGTGTCCAGATAAGTAAGAGTGATCACGTGTTTCCTCATGATGCCCAGTTCCTCTCGGGTGTGCGTCAGAAGGTTCCAACTCACATCTAAATGCTTTAGACGATTGCAGCCCTATGAAGACACACAAAAAATTTTGTCAATCGCTTCAAAAAAGTAACGTCGTGATATCAAGCTTGTGCTTCATCCTCTTCCCTACATAATACCACAACATCTGTCTACACAGACCTTCAATCCATCCAAGGTTGTAATTTTGTTAAAACTGACGTCAAGATACTCCAAAAATATCTGCAAAACAAGAACAAGGAATTATTTCTAAGACCTCAACGATGACAACAACACAAAGAAAAGCCATGAAAAATACGGGAAAATGTCCCCTAGCCCCACAACAATCAACTGGTAACAAGTTAGGGTTGAGTGTGGTTGGGTTAGGGGAGGGGTAAGTGCGCAGTTGCTCAGTACTGACGTTGATTCAAAATAAGGTGGGTGGGGGGAAACATTGTACAATTCATAGTATACGACAAAAAAAAATTTTAAAAAGACCATTAAAATTCTTATATCAGCATGCAAGTTCTCAATACCGTTCTCTATACATTTCCTGTGGTATCTCAAGGAGAATTTGTCCAACAATCAACTAAAAGAGCTTCTTGAGTTTGCAGTCATTCTCATGGCGTTAATATTTGATTTAAGGGTGATACTGTATGGAGAAATTAGATACATATCACTTTCCTTACTTGAATAATTTTGTAGCTTCGTCTTTTTATTGGGTCAAAAAACTTTGCAAGCCCATAGCAAAACTGATATAAAAATTCTGATTGGTTAGATCTTAATCTTACCATGTGACTGACGTCATCCAATCGCGTTAGTTCATTGTAGCTGACTGTCAACCTCTTGAGGGCCGTCATACAATTCACGAGCTGTAAGCGGCTCAGACCGTTGCCATGGAGATTTAAGCACTGGTCGAGAAAGAATGGAAAAGAAATAAGACAAATGAGTCTAAAATGCTATAAAAAGGGAGTTTGAAAAGCAGCGTGACGTCACTTACAACAATATGTTCCAAACACTCCACATTGCACCTTTTAAACAACAGTTCTTCTGTTAGGGCAATAAACCTGAAAACAGAGACGAAAACAGTATACACAATAACAACACACTTAAGGTAAATTTTAAACATTTTTAAATTCAAAACTTCAAAACGTTCCGTTTCTAAAGTTCTTAGTAGATGGCACGAAGTTTAAAAATCGACGGTCAGGTAAGGTAAACTTTATTTAGCCTGAGTGGCCCAGTCAGCTACATATTCTCCCAGAATTTGAACAATACAAAAAAAAAATCGAGGAAGGGGCTCATGCATAAAAGATTTGTCAACACTAACGGGACGAGTAACGGAAAAATGTTTTGTATTCGCGCTTTAGCCAAGAGAGTTTATAAAATTAAGTCGGATCCACCCTCCCTCCCTCACGTTCTTTTGTTAGCAAAGCCACGTGACCGGCCGTAACCAGGTTCTTTCCTGAGGGAAGAAGAGAGAAGACCCTGGGAACGAGCTCGAGGTTGGGACAGTCCCTGAAAACTGATAGATCACTGCTACCATTGGTTGTAAGACTACAGTAGACAGAAATATTATATCTCCTTACCCCGCTCTCCCCTTCTCTTCCCACCCTCTCTACCCTACCAAAAGATACTTTGTTACCTTGGTCTTGTAGGAATAACAGGTTCCATGTTCAAAACATCCTCGTCAGGAATGTTTTCTTTCTCCTCCCCAGGCTCCCCGTTCTGTTTATAACTTGGCGTGGTCACATCCCCGTAATAATAAATAAACGAAGATTTGGGTTTCACCTGAGGAAAAAGTGGAATCGATCAACAAAACTATAGAATGACAATCCTCCGAGCTGACCCTCATTGATACCAGCCTGAGGCCTTGAGCGACGTGAGCCGGCAAAAGCTCTTGTCTCAAATCTTCCCGCGGGCGGAAAAACGCGCGTTCCGCATGCCCTAATAATACGGCTAACAATTGTCTGCTATCTTTTTCATTACTAAAACCATCGTTCGGAACTTCCAAGATGTCAAGAAAGATTAGCGATTAGTGGATAAGCCTCACCAGAATTATGTCAGGGAATAACAAGTAAAAGATATTTCCTACAGGACAAAAAAACCGAAAATTATTTCCTTACCTTGGTGATATATTCGAAATCCACCACGTACTCCGGTAATACCATCTCGTGATCAAACACGAACCACGCGCACTGCCGCGCGCTGCACTCGCAACTCGTGTCCATAACTTGTCTCTTTATTGTCGATCCAGGTCTGCTCGGACAGTTCTCGTGTTTTCGCGCTCGAAATACTGAGTCTACTCCGCGATATGTTGCTCTAGTGATCCTTGACAAAAACAGAAACGCTCATCAATTTAGTTATAAAAGGAACATTTATGGCACTAGGAGGCCTTCGACTTTGCAGATATTCGCATCATAGATGAGACAAACTTCGCCCAATACTTGCTTCCGTGAATTCGCAAGGTCAAGTGAGTGAATCGCGTGTTCTGATTGGTTACCTTTGAGGACAATCGGGCCCTCAAGTATCGGGATGTCCCACCTAGGACCCTCAAAAAACCCACATCTAGGATCTTTTTGACAGCAGTTTTAATAACAGAAGGCTCAAAAAATAGCCACTCTACTTCTGAAGACAGTTGACAAAAAAAAGAAAAATTTCTTGGTAATGAAACACACTTCATATCACACTACCAGGCAAGGTTATCGAACTTGTTCAGGTCACACTTCGTCAACATACAGCCATCTTGTTTGGGGCGAGCTTGGTTCGCAGATATATATTAGCTAAGTCGACAATTAGGAGTTTCGGGGTTCGATTCTGCCTTGGCTCTTAAGCGACGACACTGCCTTAAAACATACAGTTCTTACAATACAAATTTCTGACATACTTGTTTTCATTTTTTGCCGGGACGACTTTTCCGACAAACACTTTAGCTACAATCAGCTGACCTAAACACAAAGAAGAGGAAAAACAGATAACAAAAAGAAAATAGCTCAGCACACAACATGGATCTTAAAACTTTTTCGCACTAACGATCAGAAAAAAAAGTGGTGAACCGAGTTGAGCTCAGTAATACAAAGATAATTGCAGACCCTCTACACCTCAACATCAGTATGCATATTCTCCATACTGTTCTCTATACATTTCCTAAGGTGCTGATTGGGAGAATTTGTTTAACAATCGAGAGCTTCTTTAGTTGGTAATCACTTCATTTTTGTTATCTTCATGTGTGATTCAGGGGCGATATTGTAAGGAGAAATTAGATGCTGGTCACTCTTCGAGGTTAAGGGGTTTTAAACAAATAATAATGTTCACATTTAGTCCACGCGTCACAGGTTTCGCCGGCGCTCAAGGAAAATGAACACCGTCGTGCACGAAAAAAAAAAACGCAAACTTGTGATTGTAGATAGTCTACTTCAATCTTTCATTCGCTAGTTCAGAGCACTCTAAACACCACGAGTATGGGTATGTAATGTTTCTTGAACTGTCTTTTATATGCGCTGTGTAATATTTACTGATCTCTCTTCATATTCTCACCGTGTCTAAACGGACACTGGTCAGTACTTCCTCTTTCCCTAGCCCGTTTCCTGAGAAAATCCACTCTTGATCTGTCACAGACACTAACACTGTTGGCCAGTGGGACTCCACCCTCTTCATTTAAGCTCTGTAAAAAGAAAGAAGGCAAACTTATCACACAAAATTGGCACTATGGCCAACCACCAACCAGTTTTGCTGACGAGAAATTCAAAGGACTGATTGCAAAGACAATCAAACTTTAAGTGAACACTACAAAAGCCAGTCATGAAACAAATCCTCTACCAGCGTATTTCACTGGAGTGTTGTCCATCCAAAATCAAAGTTATCTTTACAGCCAATAAGGGAAAGGAAAATATCACAAACAGCCAATGAGAATTTAAAGTAAAAACGCGCGGGAAAACGCGGGTGACCAGGACGCGTTTGGCTTTGGTTTTGCATTTACGAAAATGGCGCGAGTTTTCTGGACCAATCATACCGCGAAGAAAGAGAGACACCCGATCTTACATTAGTATTGCTTTCCTTTTCGCTGTAAATGGTGATGAAAACTCGCGTCATTTGTATTCCCGCTCTTCACCCTTTGAGTGACCAAGAAAGAATTTCTCCTTACAATATCAATAACATATCAAGCAGTCAAGTGATGAGAATAAAGAAAAATATCAATCAGGGGATTATGAGTTGATCCCATAACAAATTCTCCACACTAACATTACAAGAACTGTATGGCAGACAGTAAGGAGAATTACTAATGAGATCTTGGGAATTAAGGAATTAAAGCCGTTTCTCAATGGCTCTTTACGACACTTGCCTTTGTTCTGATTGGCCAATTCACATAACTTAAGATTTAGTTTTAAGTGAAAAAACAAACTACAAAACAAAAAATTTTGTAATAAAAAGAAAACGCTCTGATCGTACCTCATAAACTTGTGCCGGCCGGAAGCCCTCCTCCAGTACTCTTATCGGTTCACCATTTCCGTTGAGCAGAGCAGGATTCCACATAAAGAAGAGATATTCTAGAAGCCTTTTGTATGATCTTCCCCTGGTTGACGATATCAGAAATTTATTGAGATTCCTTTTAGATCTTTCAATGTTCAACAAATGTGAAAATGTATATGTTGTTTTCCGGATGGGAGGTCCGTATACTGAAAAACTGTGGCACAGGTTTTGAAAACTGCGCCCGAGCCCGCACTCCTCAAGTTTGGGGTCACAGTTATTCGCTTTTCGAACCGACCTTCGGCAGGTAAAAGAAAATAGCTAATCTGTCTTTTCAACTTTCTTTATCGTCTTTTAAATGAATTGTTCGTGTTTGCCAATGTTTCCAATGTTCGTGTTTTCGTCCGTATCTTCAGGATACTAAAAATGTATTATTACTACGCCACTACAGGCTGTGTAACTCCATGAGGTAGCAAGTTTGGCGTTTAGAAGCTCAAATTTGAATACAGGCAATAGACTGTGGGCAAGTCCTTATCAATAGCGCTTCGGGATGAGCGTTTCCTCGCCCACGAGAAAGTGTGAGGCCTCGCGAGCCAACGAGAGCTCTGCAAGGGGTCTGGCGCTGATTATTAGTGCCAGACCCCCGGAAACCTCTCCCCGACTCGTCTCAAACCTTTCCACGGGCGGAGAAACGTGCGTTCTGGGCCAGAGTTAAATTTTAATCCAGCTTTCTTTATTTCTTTGTTCAAAAGTCTTTTGGGGAAAATTTTCACTATTCTTTTTAGAACATCCAATGATCAAACTGCAAGCAAAAAGATTTGAACTGAATTTCCCTTAAAGTTTTCAGACCTGAAATCAAATTTCACACTAACCCTGGGTTACCTTAACCCAGCTTTGAACAACCGGGGCCTGGAGCGTTATTGATGAGAGCCTGCTTGTATCAAGTTTTGTAACCACATGTTCAAAAACTCACGAAAGCGTTACCGTGACCGCGGGAAAGATACACGAATCCAGCCTGCACTAAAACAAATCAGATTGTGGCATTTGATACCATACACTCTTAGGAAAAAAAAAAAAAAAAAAAAAAAAAAAAAAAAACTCATCTCCTCAAGTGTTCATTTGTACATACTGGGTTAGCTCCGAAATATCATCCCGGTCCAATATCAGATCAAGTTTATCATCAAATCTCGTTCTTAAGATTCTGTTATGGATTCTCGTAATCCTGTGAACCTTGATACCAGAAATTCCCAAACCCTGAAATTTAACAAGAACTCAAGTGAGTTTTTTTTTTTTTAACAATTTAAGTGTCGAAAGTAATCACAAATTCCTTCGGTTCTGCTATACTTTGCCATGTGATTGGTCCAGAAAACTCGCGCCATTTTCTCCACCAATCAGATCCAAGAGGGTTCTCCTTATCAGGCGGTAACCGGTAAAATTTACCTCTTGTAAGAGCACTTATTAAAGCCTGAAACGCTCAGAACCCTTTAAAAATACGCACTTATGGTGAACTAATCTGGTAAGAAAGTGAAATAACAGGCCAACAGTGTGTACTACTATAAATCTACGTGTGCTTTAGTTAGCTAACACTGACTGGTACCTTTCGAATTTCGAAGCAAGAGTGATTTTTCGCGGACTTTCTGGTAAATCTCATGACATTTGTCAGTTCTCTACACGAGCAAATATGGTGTCGTTTAGTTGTTCAGTTGTTCAGTTTCCAAGCTGAAACGGCAGCAAACAATGCTGTCGTTTCTGTCCAGTAACAAGAGGTCACGAAGAGTGGCTGGTAAGCTTTACAAGAATTTTATTGGTAAACAAAACAAAGGTTACGTACTAGCGATGGAAAAGCAGCCAATTGCCAGAAATAACCGCCTTGACAGCTCTACAATTGCCAACTGTATTTAGAACACGTGGGGACAAAGCTACTCTTCATCGTGAAATTCTACTTGAAATGTGTTTCAGAAAACGGTTTGAAAGAAGCCTTGAAAATAAAATCTCTCGACAGCGTAAAAGTTCTGAATTTGAGACGATTAGAACACGAATTCAGCTATTCGATGTGATTCGATTTCATAGCGATGCGATTCGTAGCTGACACCGCTGATTTTCCAGCGATATGCCATGTAAGTGACGCCAAAGATATCACCCGAAATCGAAGGGAGACAAGTTTACATTATAAGCAGTATTGTTCACATTATGAATTTTTTGATGGAGAATTTTTGATAGGCGCGATGTACTGTATACTTTAGGAAAGTAAGGAACAAAGTTGATAATGACCAACCGTCTGCAGCTGCAAATGTGCTTTACTGGTTTGAAAAGGTCCCTTACCTATTGTGCTGAAAACTAGGGAGAACACTGTCCAAAACTAAAGCCAATTGCGACTCGGTAACCCGTGTATTCCCGCGCTTCAGGCAGTTCGTTTGTTTTTACTTTGAGCTTTTTCCGATTGGCTGTAGGGCTAGCTTTGGTTTTGCCTTTACAACACTCCATCGAAATGCGTTCTATTGTCATCTAATACATTAGAAAGGGAACGTGCATTTGCTTGAATTGCCAGGGCAATGACGCCAGTTTTAGAATAAAGCTTACTTATAAAGCCTTTTGTTTTGCTTTTGTTCGGCTTTTGCTATGTGTTCAATCTGCTTTCGCACTTGTACTCTTTTTTTCCCCCCACCCTCACCCCCCCCACATAAATCCCAAGTTCCCCACACCGGTGGACTGTGGCTTGGTTTCCATGGTGACTTCCTTATTGTTGAGAGATTGTTCCCTTCCTCTTGACGAAGCGTTTAATTACACGATATTTATAATAAATAAGTGTCAATTCTTACCAAGTAGTCTCCAACACAGAACCTTGAAAAAATCAGATCATGACAGGACTTGTACCTAAAAACAAACAGACTTGATGTCACTGATGCTGCAGTAATCACCCGGGCCCCAGTTGCTTAAAATGCAGAGAAAGCCATTCAACTGATAAATCCCTATGCAGCGGATAAGTGTTGACAAAACGTACTGCATTATCCACTGAAAAGACATTTATCCAGTGTATAGCTTGTGTAGTTGTTTATAACTCGTGTGAGAAAACTTGTTTCCAACAGCTTAAAAGCACACCACCTAGTCATGACAGAGCAGCAAAATAAGTGCGCATACTCGGCAGATATGGCGCGTCCGGAAAGCGTTTTGAGACTCCAGCGTGAATTAATTTCGTCGAGGAACGAACAGAACATTGTTTTACACTTTTTTAATGAGGACCAAGTAAACATATTTGTTTTTATGAAAGGACTGAAGGTTAAATAACAACCTTTTAATTAAACTTCATCGCAAGCAGTTTTAAATTTGTCCAGACAGCTAAAGCGGTGGCAGTCGCTACCAGTCGCTACCGTTACGGATGCAATACTTCAGTTCCTAAATTCACACCTGCAACCCCAAATTTTTTTTGTTGTGTAAGACATGTGACGGAGGAGTTGCCACAGAAACGTTCCTGAAAAGAGTAACCTTATCTGTTTTGGTTTGGGCTTATTCCCGCCTAATGAAAACAAACAATGCAAACTTTAAACACGCCGCCATTTTGTCTCGAGTGTTACTATGGAAATATTTTCGTTCCCATTGCTTTACGCGCATAAAACTTCTCGCGCGTTGCAAGCGAACGCATTCATAATGCCCCTGTGTCCCAAGTCATTACAACGTTCGCACATGCACAGACGTTTGAGCACTGTGTTGGCCATTCCTGGGTCCTTCGTTAATTGTTATTCATGATTTATATAGTTCAATAATTTTGTACCACGGATCTGTTTGTTTGCCGTCTTCAAAGCGCACATTTCCTCCAGTCTCCAACTCCAACAACAGCCGCTGAACTGTCATCTCGGAGACATTATTGACTTGCTCACAACTCTCCTGATGACACTGATTAATTCTGAAAATAAAAAAGGGACGAGCTCTGTAAACTCTTCTCACTAATTTATAGGGAATCGTAGGCAACTAGTTTGGAGAAATATGATTTAGATCGAGGAGCACACAAAAGAACCGAACATTTTTACAGAGTTCTTACTCTTCACGCTGTCTCTGTAGTTTCGAAATTCTTTTCAGCAGTGCTTCCTTCTTCTTTTGCAGCTTCTGTGAGAACATCATTGTATCAGTCGCTAGGGTCTCTTTCTCTTCCAAGTTTTCTTTCTTCCCCTCGTCCCCTGCAACAGGACTAATGGGATTTTTGTTTTCTTTAAAAGATGATGACAATCCCTCTCTTTGTTCCTCAACCTCTCTCTCTATCTGTAAGGAAAAAAATTGGGAAATAACGATCCTTAAAACAATCTGTCGCCCTCTAAAGATGAATGTGATAGCGTATCACAACGGCCAATCAGAAGGAAAATACCCTAAAGAGCCAATGAGAACTCAAAGTAAAAAGCAAACTGCCAAAAGCGCGGGAAAACGCGGGCGACCAAGTCGTAAATGGTTTTAGTTTTGCATCTGATTGGTTGAGAGCGTGGCACGAGTTTTCTGGACCAATCACAGAGCGAAGTAAATCAAAAACAAAGTAATCATGGATTACTTTCGAAACTCAATAGTCCATTTTACAGTTGCGTGCTTGGTTGCCAAGCCTTTGAACAGGAGTGAGGCTAAGGTTGACTTTGTTATGATACAAACCTTGCTGCTTTTCAAATGCAAATTTACTTTGTTATCATGCTAACTAGATACTGGTCTCTATCACAACAAAGTCACCTTCAGCCTCACTTTAAATCAAAGGCTTGGCAACTAAATACACAACTGTAAAATGGCCTCTTGCACATTCCTATAAATATATGACAATATTTTTACGAATTTCTTATTTATCGCTGTAAACATACATCTTTGACGGCTGAAAAGAGTTTAAGCATTCGGTTCCTGGGTTCAGCTTGAAGATTTGCTCTCTCAGTCTCCAGTCTGAAAAGCAAGTCAGCCTTGTTTCTCTGCATCGTCTTCACGCGCATGTTGTAATACATCTTCTTCTTAACCACTGTGGTCTAAAAGAAGAGAGAATTTAAGAGCTGAAAGCTGCCTGTTGGGCCTTAACATAATATGCATGTAAATAATGTTGTCATAAAGCTGAAATTTTTTTCCTTAAACAGCGAATGCTGTCACTGCAAAATATTCAAAATAGAATTCCAGGGCTTTCCAGGTTTTCCAGGACCCTGTATGTAAGATCTAGGCGCTTGCCAATTATTTCCGTGTAATTTGTAATTACCTATTCAGCTCTTAACTTTTTCATACTTTAGCTCTAAATATTTTCCTAATTTTTTCTTGGTAAGTTTGTCAGCGTTTTTCTTCGTCAGTTACACCATTTTGCTCGTTTCTCATACCACACGCTATTTCGCAGTCCTCTTGTATTTAAAGCCAGTTACTTTTACGCTTAATCGTTTTTTAAGTCAGTTCACCTAAAGTCGCGCTTCGCACAGTTCTCTATTTTGCAGTTACATAGTAAGCGTCATCAATCCAAGTATTTTTTCCGTTTCGCTTTGTCTGAATTCATTTTTTGTTTGTAGTTTGTTTATCTTCATTACTTAACTGACCTCTGACGTATATTTTTAGTTTCAACCTACTACTACCGTAGCTCTCAAAAATAAAAGTATTTCGAGTTAGAAAGATAACGCTTTTGTTGTTACACTGTGTATTGGTAGAACTTGACAACTTAACAGTTGTGAAGATCATAGAACTGCTTGGGTTAGTTTCGTGGATAAAGTCAAACCAGTTCTCTTGGTTCACATACCTCTGCCAGTTCCTTCAGTGTTTTATCGTCCACATTGTAGGAGTCCACTCTTTTCAGGTTTGGCAGGTGAAACAAGAGATGTGTTGAGTAGTTGCACAGCAAAGCCACTGGGTTTGGCCCGTACACAGGGTCTTTTAAACTTAGAGACTCCAAACATGGCAGCTGTGACAAGTTTGTAAGATCCTACAACATGTAATGCAACAAAAAACTTCAGTTGCTTCTGCCACATCTTCAGAGCTTCCTACCCATTGCACATACATATAAAGGCTTTTATTCCCTGCGCCAGCAATTGATCGACCCAGTTTTTTTGACTCCCATCTGATAATACAGAGTTGTCATTAGAAAATGTATTAGATGTTTGATCTGAACTGAGTAAGCAGCTGAATTGATTTATGCTTGTGCAGCAGGTATTGCATTTTTCAAAGAAACAGACCCTACTAAGTAGGGCCAAGGGCATGTTACAGAAATAAAATAAAATTCTAACTATGTGAGTTTTGAGAATTTGGTATTGGATCAATTAATAATCCCATAACTGATATTTATCTTAAATTTATTCTCATTGACTGTCTGCCTGATCTTGTATTGATATTGTAAAGAGAAATTCTGTCTTGATCACTGACCAGAATTAAAGGGTTGAAGAACACAACAAATTTTTACCCTCAGGCACACCTACCTTTAAGGATGCAATGCAATTTGCTGACAAATTCAAAGTTTTTAGATTTAAGTTTCCATTGAGAGAATTCCCTGTGGGTAAAGAAAAGAATGTTATTCATGCAATTTACTGTACATAAAAAGCGAAATGTTATTCATGCAATTTACTGTACATGAAAAGCGAAATGTTATTCATGCAATTTACTGTACATGAAAAGCGAAATGTTATTCATGCGATTTACTGTACATGAAAAGCGAAATGTTATTCATGCGATTTACTGTACATGAAAAGCGTAATTCCTCATCATGAATAAGAAGGCATGGAGGTCAAAACTAGAAAATGATTGATTTGTGCAGAAACATTAAATTTCAATTACTGCTCACCAATTTCTGTAATCTTATTTCCTGCCAAGTTCAGATCAAGGAGATAAAGAAGCTTCTCTAAGCCCTAAACAAAAAAATACAGTTACTTCTTATTTTCTCTGAGGCATCACAGCAGGTCAGAATCTTAAATCCTTGAATCTGATTGGCTAAACCTTGGTCCGCAAGAGCAAACCAGAAGAAATGAATGAATGAATGTGTATTTATATACCGCACATATCACATACTGTCTCAAGGCAGTTTACAATTCTAATTGAGTGAGATCGAACGTCAGCTTGTAAAGGCGCCTCTGGCTGCCACTATCAGTCCATATTTGATCTCACTCACCCACCCAGCCCATGCATGAAATGTACAATGAAACAACAGATAGACCACCACACCGTGAACTACGCCCCCTACTCTTTTCGACAAGTGTGTGGGTTCTTTAACGTCCCCTGCTGACCATGTAACACTGAAGATGCAGGAGACGGGGCCTACGGTTTATTATCCGAGAAGACTTGAATGTCTAACCATTTGCTGGTACAATTACAAAGGCAGCACATTCTCCTCAGTTATTTTAAGACCCTGAGTGTTGGTCCGGTCTGGGGCTCGAACCCTCGACCTCCCGCACAACAGACTGGCGCTCTACCAATTGAGCTAACCAGGTGGCGGTTAATAAGTTATCCACTAGCCTAGGTCAGTCTGTTTGGGATAAAACTGATGCCTTGGTCTTGAGTACAGCCCTCTGCAATTGGCCTTGGGCTTTACTTAAGACCTGAGGACCAGTTATTTCACATAATTTTTTATGGACTCCCTCCACTGGTATATAGCATATATTTACTGAAAGAGAACTGACCAATACATGCACATCAGTCAGACTTATAATAGAGACAGAGACTGTAAAATAACTATATGCTATGCTGCAAAGAAAAAAACTGTTAATTTGAGTTTGTATTGTGTATGGAAGAAAGAAAAAAATTCTGAGCTAGAACACAACTCAAAAGCGAGACTATACGTGCATTGCCTCTTTTCATGTGTCCCTCAGATAACAGAACTCCCTTAAATTCATACCTCAATTGCAATGATATTGTTGTTGTTCAGCCATAAAACATTCAGCTGTTCCAGGTGAGAAATATTCTCAATCTTTGTAATCTTGTTGTCATATAAGAACAGCTTTTTCAACTTCTTACAGCCATCAAGGCCAGAGATAGCCTGGAAAGTAGAAATTCATAGTAATCATAACAGTATCATAATTATAATTTCCTAACTTGTGATTAGTGAGTTAACTGCTTTCTTTTTCACAAGTCATTCTGCACAGTTGTAATTGGACAGTGTAATCTGACAGTTGCTGTAATTGGACAGTTGACTGTAATCAGAGAGTTGGCTGTAATTGGACAGTTGGCTGTTGAAGCAACCAATCACTCTAAGTCAACTCAGCTAAATCTGCCAATCACAAAATTTCTCACAATAACCATACCAACAACCACTTAACCTAAAAAAAAAATTGGGAAATTTACAAAATGGAGGAATTTTTACTTTAGTCATTGTGTCTACCAAAGATGTTTGTCCTAAATGTACCTTGCTCTCAATGTGTGACTTTGTATCTCAGTTGATGGTTTCTGGGAGGCACAAGTTTGAATCCTGCCAATTTGAAACTTTAATAATTTGCTTTAGGATTTTCCAATCTTAGACCTCGCAAATTTTGGCAATTTCATGTTTTTTTCTTTTTAATAGAGGCATGGTTTGCTTAAGTTCCCCATTAATATTTGAGAATTCAACCTTGACTTGTACTTACAGTTATCTTGCTTTCAGACACACATAACTCTGTAAGGTTTGGCAAACAGTCCAGATTCTCCAGTGTTGTAATCTGTTGTCCCATCAGAGTTAAATTTTGAAGATCTGGGAAGTTCTCCATACCAATAATCTTGGGAAATCCAGAGAAGAACATCTCCAGGCTAGCAACATTCTTTCCTGCTCCTTTCTGAAGCTTTTCAAATTTGATCCCATTTACTGTGCACTATATGAAAAAAAAGAGAATTGCTTATTAACCAATTCACTCCCAGCAGTGACCAAGACATACTTTCTCCTAACAACACCAGTACAATTTCATGCAGACAAGTAATGAGAATATAGAAAAATATCCTTTAGGAGATAACCAAATGTTCGATCCAAGAATTAATTCTTAGAACTAAAACTATGAGCAGTGTGTGGCAGAAAGTAAGGAGAGAGAGAGATCTTGGGATTGAAAGGGTTAAGAAAAAGCTTACTTCAAATCAAGGTTTGATAGAGATTCTACTTTGTGTTGTGAAAGTGCCAAATGACACCCTTCAGCATGAGGGAAAGCTGAGTAATCTGCATCATACTCCAAGCTACATTTTACAGCACAATATAGCAGAAATAGGAAATGTAAATGAAGGTGATCTTCATTACTAAAAAGTAGTAGTGAAAATAAGGCCTGAAAAAAATTCAGGACTGTACAGGATGTGAACCCATGACCTGTGCAACACATGTGCAGTGAATTTTCTTCAGGCCTTATTTCCACTATTACCTAAGTAGCATTTATAACTGCAAAGATTGCTTTCATATTCATTTCTTCAGTGCAGTTCAAATAATTCTATGATTTTAATATATTTACAGTCAGAAATAGGAAAGTAGTAATAATGATGACAATAATTATGATATTTAATGAGGGAACCTAACTTGCCGAGGCATTTTTCAGTGGGACCCTCCATGACTAATTAATTGCCTGGTTGGTTATAAAAAACAAATATGAATAAAAAGTAACATATATTCCTGATACATAAAGAGAGTGAAAATGTTTTGTGAAATGAAAATGAATTGAATATCAAAGTAGAAATTACTTAAAATTAGTTAAACCCATTTAAAAAAGTTTTTAGTTTTTCTTTAAAAATGGATAAAAACTTTGTTCCTTTCAAATCAATCAGAGGGCTTTTCCACTCTTTCACAGCTTGGTCAGCAAAATTATTTGAAAGAAACATCTTTACTGAATATTAGAAATTCTCCACATACCATGTAACATAAGTTTGCCCATTGCTGTGCTGTTATAATTTTTGAACACATGGACATACTGGTATCTTGTTTTGTGAAATGAAGTTTTGAAATATTTTTAAATAACATACACCTCAATGCAGCATAGTATCAATACTACCAAAAATAGATTTAAAAAGATTGGTTCCACTCTGTAAGCAATAATTTTAATCATTGTTCTGAGAAACAATACATCCTGAAGACAAGACAAAACATTTGCACCACAGAAAAAAGGTTTTTGGTACATTTACAGAAATGAAGAATAAAACTACAAAGAAGTTCAAGATAACTCACCAAAAAAACAATTATTTCAAAATGTTATTCTTAAACAAAAGCTTTTTCTAAGGTGGTTTGCATGATCAAAATAGAATGCTTTTGTTCTTTAATTATTACCCTAAAACATGTCCAATGAGTGGATATTTAGTTGTATATCATGCTGACAATAATATCAGCAAGAAATTAACCATTCACTTATCTCACCACAATTAAACATATTTTTGAATGTATGATCTGTGCTTCATTGTGAGACTTTCAAACAAAGGACAGTAACATGGAACTGAGTGAAAAACCAAGTGCAGTAATTATATGCAGATAAAATGATTTGATGAAACTGTCATCATGATGTTTCCACAGTTCTCCTCTCCAGGTTTACATCTTGTAATAATCCCTTACTACTGCCTAAAATTGCTTGAAATTCTTGAAAAATCAACACTCAGTTGGTTTGAAATGTTTTTTTATCTGTCATTCTCAAAGTAAGGGAGAACAGTGTGTTTCATATTCATAGTGGAATCAAAACATTGAACAAAGGGAAATTTAAATTAAGCTACTGTTCTAAGGAGTAGAGTTTACAATTATGTATTTTGTATTGATAATTTACTTATAACAGAAACAATACAATGCATTAACCATTTAACTCCCAGATCAAATTTGTCATTCTCCTTACTGTCAACCATACAATTCTTATAATGTTAGGTCAGAGAATTAAGTATTGGATCAACTTATTATCCCCAAATTGATATTTTTCTTCATCCTCATCACTTGTCTGATTGATACTATAATGATATTGTAAGGAGAAACTCTGTCTTGGTCACTTATGGGAGTTAAAGTGTTAAACAGAGATACAAAATACAATTCTCCTAATTAGCACCTCAAAAAAATGTATGAAAAACAGTATAGAGAATATGCTCACTGATATTGGGGTGTAAAAGTTTATCTCATTTTATTTGTGCATAGCATGAGCGCAGTGATGCTAAACAAAATAAAATCAGTTACCAGTTCATGAAGTTGACTTTTGTTTTTGGTCTTTTTTGCTCCTTTACTGCTTGCCTGAATTGCCTGTTTCTTTCCCAAAGAACAAAACAAAACAAAACAAAACAAAAAATACCCAATGACATAAGCAAAAAAATATGCAGAGCAAACAACATCTCATCATTTGCTTGCCTGTGAGCAAGCCCTTATTAATAGTGCTGCAGGAAGCATGTTTTTCCTGCCCAAACGAAGATTTGAGAGGAGTGGGAGAGATGCTCATCAGGGGTCTGGCACTAATTGCTAAAACTCTAGCAGACCCCTCCTCTCTTCTAAAAGGACCTTCCCATTTCACCCCTCTCAATCTCCTTTTGGTGAGTGATACTGCTAGATAAATGCACCTACCAATGGTTTGCCCCAGGATTGGGGTGGGAGGGGGGGACAAGCTACCTGCAGGAAATTGATTGGGAGGGTCCTCCTTAGATGGGGATTTTGACATTTACCCACTGATTTCAGGTCAGGAGTTTGACCTACCTGCCATGTTAGGAGTCCAGCAGGTGATTTTGAAAACCTGAAAATGTCATATTCCCCTGAGTTGGCAAATCTCAATGCAAAGATGGTAAATCTCAATAACAAACTGATCACCTCCCTGATTAAGAAAGCTTGTATTACTGAAAGTACATAAATTTTTTCCATGCTGCATTTTAGATGATTGAGACAAACTACTTGGCCAGCTAGCACATCTAAATGAAAAACTGTTCACCTTATTTAATTATGACAGCTTGAATTATTATTAATTAGTGCATAAATTATAATAATTTTTCGGTGTTGCATGTCAGGTTATCAAAACGAAACGAATCATGTGGCCGGCTGACAATTTTCAATGACAAACTGATCATCTTTAATCGTGACAGCTCGTATTACTATTAGTGCATAAATTAGAATATTTTTTCTAAGTTACATTTCTATGTGATCCATTATTTAAGTGCATTTACTCTTTGCTTAATTGCTTAAATGAGCTTGAAAATAGTAAAATGTCAGGTGCAAAATCTGATTTAATAGATCAGTGCAATCGATACCTTGGAACAGCAGGAAAATAGAGCAAAGGAAGGTTTAAAAAGGAAACATCTGGATATATTATTGTGATTATAATAGGTCAGGGCTCAGTTGTGTGGAACAAGATGTTTAAAGATTGATGCAGAGCTATCCGCAGATTCGTAAACAACTGTTGTTTGCGATGTTTATTAATCTATATCGATCAAAACAACACAAAGCATCACTCAAGAAAAACCCAAAACAAGTATTAAAATAGAACGCAACCCTAACGAGAATTAGCCATAAGACCTTGCCGCATCTGCGAGAAAAGTTCACAAATTTCCCAAACAGGAGTCTTCAGTGTTTAAACTTTGTCAAAACTCACCAATTCTCTCAATGATTCCTCATCTTCACCCGAAGAGGCTGAATCCGCTTTTTCTTCTCTGGAACCCCTCATTTTATTGACTTGTCATCATTCGTTTTCGCGAGGAAAAATATGTTGCAGGAGGATCTCTACGCATTTGAAGAAAATTGGCTCGATGCAAGTGATGACACACCGCCATGTTTTCTCGAAGACTCAAAATGGAACAATCTGATTGGTTTACAGTTGCTCTAGAAACTTTCCCGTCCCAGGTTTAACTCCGGATTCCTGGGTTTGATCAGGAAAATGACACTCACGCTTCTTCTTCGACAGCGCGTACTTAAAATTCCTTCTCTGATAGCTGCAGCCAGAAGGTTTAACAGCAGTCTTGTCGAGACTGAACAAGATGGAGAGATCTTCCTTGTATCGATTGCACGACCCGAGAAGCGCAACGCGGTTGATGCAGAGACCGCGAAAGAGCTCGCAGACGCGTTCAGACATTTCGAGATCGACCATGAAAGTTCAGTGGCTGTGTTGTATGGGAAAGGAGATACGTTTTGTGCAGGATATGATCTAGAATATCTATCTACCAGGGGTCCTGATGAGTTCCTGAGATGGCTCACCCCCCCTGGAGAAGGAGACGGTCCCATGGTGCGTTACAATGTTTACGTTTATGACGCGATGACAGACACTGAAAATACGAAATACAAAAATTATTTGAAATTATGCGAAAACTTGGCATCTTTTTTGCTATCTATAGAATTCTATTACACTCAATTTTTTTAAATGGGAGGCTTCTGTTTCGTTCTGTTTTTTTTTTCTAGTTTGTTTTGTATTGCATTCATTGATCGTTTGTCCACTGGTGCAGTAGTAGGGGCTATGATGGAAGCGCGGCGATGTGGAAGAAAAAGAACTCTTTCATATTGGAATATTTCGGATATTTTCCTGTTCTCCTTTTTTCATCCGGTGACTATTTCAAGGGAATAGCTTTGCTGAACAATTTAGCCATGAAATATTGCCGTTAAAAAACCCTTAAAATCATGTTATCCTGATTAACAATGCTAATTTGTGAGTAAAATTGGATGCCAATATAAACACAGAGAGAATTCCCAAAGAGACAGGAGTACAATATGGATAGTATTATCAGCTCTTTGAACAACTGGACTGTGGTATTTTATCACAGAAGGGTCAGGCCCCATTTCTCAGTCATCATTTTTCAGTATTCATTCTCCTTTTCCCATTCTTGATTTCCCATTCTCCAATTCCCATTCCTCATTTTCCATTCTGCATCTCCTTTCCTCAACTCCCCATTCTTTGTTTTAACTCAGAGGTCCACCTTGAGAGCAAGATCTGAAGAATTATTTAAAACACAATAGGAACTTTTTTGATTCCATTGAGTTGAAAATAATTGAAATCATACCACATAGTGTTGAGGTAAAAATCTGTGAAAACAGATCAAATAACTTGAAAAATGATTTTTTTTGCATGATTACTGATTGGTGAGATGCATGATCACCCAAGGTGACATGAGAAGCTTTTAATTAAAATCCCTGTCCTTTTTTGTCATGGCAAAGGAACAGGCCCTTAATATTGGGGATTTGGCACAAATATTTCTTCAAATACAAGGAAAGTATGAGGTGTTGAACAATGCAAGCTGGTGAGAGGTCTACAAGGGATCTCGCACACTGATAATATATAGATGTTTTTACTCTCTGTCCAGGGCCCAACTCGATTGAAACTCACTAAACCAGTGATTGGTGCCATTGAGGGACATGCAGTTGCAGGAGGAATGGAGTTGGCACTGATGTGTGATCTCAGAGTTGTTGCAGAAGATGCAGTCATGGGAATGTTCAACAGAAGATTTGGTAATAAAAAGCATTAACAGATAACCTATGCAGCCCTTAGCATACTTTGAAAGAAAAAATCTTCTATAATTGTGGCAAAAGGGCTTAGTACAGTGGCAATGTGCGACTGTTTAAGGCAGTAGTGATATTGCCATCTAGGGGGAAGTAGTGATACTGTAGTTACTTCATGCAACCACGATAATTAGCTCTGGCTGGGTGGGTGAATAGGTTTGAGTACAGACCGTACCTTTTTGCTTTGACGAAACAGCATTATTAACATATGATATTATAATTGTACAAAGGTGTGCCTACAGTGGATGGAGGTACAGTGCGGTTACCATACATTGTTGGTCTTTCACGCGCGTTAGACCTGATCATGACAGGCCGTGCTGTACATGCAACAGAAGCTCTTAGCATTGGCCTTGCTAACAGAGTTGTTCCCAAAGGAGAAACAGTTGAAGAAGCTCTCAAACTTGCAAAAATGTTGGTTCGCTTTCCAAGAGAGGCACTGTGTGCAGACCGCAAATCTGTTTTCTATGCCACATTCAATGCAGATTCCTTTTACGATGCTCTGACATATGAATACTCCAAAGGAGTGAAACTGCAAATCATGAAGGATTCCATTGAGGGAGCAAAGCAGTTTTTACAGGGGAAAGGCCGTAAGGGTTCGTTTGATGACTACTTGGATTAAAATTGATTTTACACATTACTTTTACACATCAATTTAAGAACAAAGTGCTAAGTATTGAAAATGAATTAAAGCTAGCTAACTTCAAAACATCATCATATTTTACCCTTTAACTCCCAGAAGTAATTAACATAAAATTTCTCCCAACAATATCCATACATTATTCAGCAAACAGGTAATGAGAATATTCAAACTTATCAGGTAGAAGCTGCTATCTTGATCTAGCACCAAGTTATCATAACTAATTTACAAGGAAATGTGTAGCAGCTAGAGGGGAGAATTAACAATCAGATCTTGGGAGTTAAAGGGTTAAATTAAATTTATTTTCAGTGAGATGAAGACTTCTACGTCAAAAGAGATGTTTTACGGGTAAAATTTAAAAGACTGAAATGTAAGCATTTCCTTTGTTTGTGTTGTATTTATTAGGTTTTACAGTATGTTTATTTAACCCTGTGACTCCCAGACCAAATTTGTAATTCTCCTTACTGTCAACCATAAAATTATTTTAATATTAGTTCAGAGAATTTAGAATTGGATCAACTAATTATCCCCAAATTGATATTTTTCTTTATTCTCATCACTTATCTGGTTGATATTGTATTGATGTTGTAAATAGAAATTCTGTCTTGGTCACTCATGGGAGTTAAAGTGTTAAAGTAGAAGCCTTTTGTTTAGTTTCTTGATTGCTAATCTCATCCCATGATTCATTGCAAACTGGCTGTTGTGTGTGTTGATGCATTAACCCTTTACACACTAACATCAGTATGCATATTCTCCATACTATTCTCATACATTTCCTAAGGTGCTGACAAGGAGAATTTGTTTAACAATCAAGAACTTGTTTGGATTGTGATCAGGGGTGATATTTTAAGGAGAAATTAGATGCCACTCACTGTTGGGGTCAGGATTAACTAAGGGAAAATGATTGCTTTCATTTGATGTGTTATTTTTAAAAGGCCATTTGCAACAGTACTCCAAAAAGTGCTTCTTTTATTGTTTGATGTTTGAAATTCCTGATTCGGTGTATAAAGAGCTTGTACATTGAGGGACAAAAAAAAACATCATTCTCTAATTATTTTACAGTTCTTAAAGTAGGCAGAGGTCATAAAATGATTAAAAGAACTCTTCGAATTACCAATTTCACCAGTACCCTCTGTGTCTGAAAAGACAAATCACCATAACAATACAATTTTTCATAACAACAAACTTGCCGACGTGTGAAAAATTCGTCAATATTTCCATTTTCTTTTATTCCTGGGGCGCGATTGAGAAGCTATTCTAAAACAGTAAAACAATAAAAACACTCAGCCTGCGGCCCCGTGCTTTCAACAGTTTTCTCGTGTTTGGAACCCGAGTTTTATAAAAAGTACGTCATCACACCAGGAGCTCCTGAACACACCCATGAGGTGGTCCGCCTAAAGGCGTATTTCCAACCTGGATGCAACCCAGCCGTTCTTTTTGTTTTGAATCACTTTTGTGGCCTTGTCTAACTTCCATAAGTGGACATGTTTAATTTGTCTACTGACTTTGCTTTGGACCCACATGAAAGTTTTTGTTTTGGCTAACGCAGTCAGAGGTTAATTCAGTTGATTGGAAGCATTATGATCAAGTGTTCTGTTGTTCATTTCGAAAGTCTCGTGAAATTGTTTGGTTTAGTTTTCTATCAACATTGTTTAGCCATCTAAACCGCAAAAGACTGAAGCTCCAATCTTTTACTTATTGTTTATCACACTCAAGAAGAATCGAACGTTGTTTGTCTGAATTACGAGGGGAACTGAAATTTCATGACGTCATTAGCACTCTTCGCTATTGTCACGATATTTGTCTTAAAGCTCTTTAATCTTCCCGCCAAGCATCAATCTGGCGCCAAATCTATCAGTTAATTACAGTGCCCTCCTAACCCCTTGCACAACTGATCAAGTCCAGCCAAAGGGATTTGGCGCCGCGTGCTCTTCACATGCCACGGAATTTTTGGCAACGCGAAGTGAAGAGCTACAACGAAATAAAACGGCAAAAATAATTTTTTATAGTTTTGGTTTCTGTTGTTACCAATCTAGGCAGGTGATAGCCAGTATGGACTAGTTTTGCGGACTCGTTTTAAAGCGGAAATTTGACGATTTAAAGTTTAGCTTGAGGCGGAAATTCTTGCCTCATCATTACGTTATCTAATCTTAGAGAGTCAACAGACTAATTGTTTCTTTCATCACGTCTCCCACTGGCGTTAAAGAAAGAAGTCTCTGACCTGTATCACACCCAGGTGTTTAAGCTTCTAAGTAAGAAATACAAAATCTCTTTTGAAGTAAATACCACAAAAAAAAATGGTGATACTTGGTAGCTTAGAATTTAGCAGTCTTTAAGCTGCAAAATAACCGCGCTGAAAATTAATTGAAGTCCACAGTGTAAGAGAGTGAAAATGAGCACATGGGGGCGAATGGATGAATGGAGGTCAAGCGCATCTTCTGAAATAACACATATCTGTATCCGTCTTAATTTAGTGGTCTGATATCTGTTTCTTATGTAAACAAGTAAACGTTGCATAAGCCATCGCCTTTTTGACAATTGAAAGTTTTCAAAGAGCCAATCAAACGAAAGTTCTGTATCTTATAAATATGCTATGACCAAACTGGCAATTCATTTAAACCGGAGAAAATCAGTCTTCAAACGAAAGTTACAGAAAAACTAGAAATGCCTGTGGATAAACTATTAGATTATTTGGAGCCAAAAACTTTCGGCAAAATTCACTATGTGGTAGTGGTTTTTTGGATCCTGATTGGTGTCATCCCCCTTGCTATATTCGCCGAAATGGAAAACAGCGAACCAAGGTTTGATTTCCGCTGTGGCGCAGCGAAAAGTAAAAACATCGACTTCGTCCGGGGAAAATGTTACGAGAAATACCAGGAGCAGTACAACAAATTCGCTTTGCCTGTCTACGGCTTCGTAATCATAAATTTCGTCCTTATTATATTTGTATGTGTTATCTACTCCCAAATAGTAAGACCTACAGTCAATCGACTGTCGCGAAGCATTCGTAACGGTGATCCAGAGAGACAGTCGCGCGATCAAGAGAACGCATTATCAACGGGAAAGAAGCTTTTTATCGCTTACTGCGGTCAACTATCCATAAAACTTGTTTTAGGAGTTGTTTTCATCATCCTACAAACTCAGTTGCTTTATCCTTCAAAGTTTTCCTCTAAGTTTCACTGTTACTTAACCGATGGAACCACTCAGCCAAGGAATTCATCTAACAACGCCCAACACTCTACTTTGCACGACTGTCACAATCAACGAGCGGCAAAGAAAACCTTCTGGATGGACTTTGTCCTTGTGTTAAATGGAATTTTCGTCGTTAGTATTCTGATTGAAATCGTCTACATTTTTTTAAGGGCATGCAAAGAAAGGGATTTCATGCAAAACTCAAAGTTTCAAGCATCTCATCTAAATCCTCCCGAAGAATCTCAACAGCAAGAAGGAACACAACTTGTAACAAACAACCCACATGAACCTCAGCGGCAAGAACGGACAGAAACAAACATCTCACAAGAAGACCATGATACGAACATCCCACATCTGCAGGGCGGGCCTGAACAACTCGTAAAATCACCGCTTCAGGAATTCATCCAGAATACAAAGAAAATGATTATGGACGACACTTATCAACCCCCACAACTCCAGTCGCTTTTTCCAAGTCCTCCTGGCAAAGGACACCCACCTAAACATTTGACTCTGGATCAGATTTACACAAACCTTGTTGTTGTACCTAACATGGCTGATTATGACTTTACTGAAGACAGACGGAAGAATTTGCAAATCTACGCCAGGTCGGGTGTTAAAAACGAAACACCGAGAGGGCCAGAGGACATTCTTAATCACGAAAACAAAAACATTTTGATCGTCGGTCGTCCCGGTATCGGAAAGACACTTTGTTGTACAAAAATTCTCAGAGACTGGGCATCTAACAAAGTATTCCATAAAACACCCGATGACAAAATCCACTTTGATGCTGCTTTCTTCGTCAAATTCAGATTATTCAACGCTGCAACCGACCTTAGCCTTCGAGAGCTACTGACCCGCTCCACATACTCACCCGAGCTGGATGAGAAAGTCTGGAATTACATCCTAAAAAACCCGCAGAAAGTTCTCCTTATTTTCGATGGAATTGATGAATTCAAAGATAACTCAAAGATCGGCACGGAAAATAGGAAACCTCAATTCGAAAACAGCGTAGACGAGAAGATGCCCCTCTCGGCTATTTATGCCAAACTAACGACTGGAAAACTTCTCAAAGGGGCAGCAGTTTTAACTACTACAAGACCTACAGCTCTGTCATGCATCGAAAGTATTCGTTTTGACAAAATCCTTGAGATCCTTGGCTTCTCATCCGAACAAGTCGAAGAATACGTAACCAAATTTGCTGAAGAAGACAAGGAAGCAGGCGACACAGTAAAGCGTCACATCACCAGCAACATCAATATCTTATCTCTATGTTACATTCCTGCGAGCTGCTTCATCATTTGCTCAAGTCTCTTTAAAATGACGAAGTTCCACGTTTCTAAAGGTCTTAACCTACCAACAAGTTTAACAGACATATACGAGATAGCCGTAAAAATTTTCTACTTGAGACACACCGAAGAATTTCGCGATAAAGATTTCACTCGCAAAGACTTTGAATCAAATGATCTGCCTCCCGAAGAAGAAAAGAAACTGGAAAAATTGGCATTTGAAGGAATTAAAGAAGGAAGGCTGATCTTTGGAGCAAACGAAGTACGCGGAATGGAAGACAGCGCTCTATTTCACCGCTTACCCGACCGTGAAGTTGACTCGTTTAGTAGCGAAGGACAGTTCTGTTTTATTCATCTCACAATGCAGGAGTTTTTCGCCGCGAAGTACCTTGTTAACAACATGAGTAAAAGAAAACTAAGGAACTTTGTTCAAATGAACATTAAGGAAGGCAAATGGCAGCTGGTTTTTCAGTTTGTAGCAGGATTAATGGAGAATAAAAAAAACCTACCAAGCGAAATTGTCACAGACCTTCTTCCTGTGAACACTGAAGAAGAAGAAGAAGCATACTTCAACGTAAAGTGGACAGAGAATGAAGAGAAAACGAAAGTGACCTGCTGGCCGACTGATGACGAACGATATTTAGCAGTGACATTAATGAAATGTTTAAACGAAAATAGTAGAATGAAGTCAGAAGCACAGAGAAAACTTCAACAAATTAACTTTAATTGTGTAAATTTTATTTATTGTCACCTCACAGCTGTTGATTGCTCTTCGTTAGTAAATGTAATTAATGTTCAACAAATTTCACATTTAGATTTGAGTTTCACTAACATTGGTCCATTAGGTTGTTTGGAGATTTGTAAATTGTTAAAATGTAGGGAATCTCAACTGAGCTGGTTAAACCTCACAGGAAATCAATTGACAGATGAAGCAGCAAAGTATTTAGCTGAAGCCATCAACAACAACAACTGTCAGCTACGCACGTTAGACCTCTTAGACAATAAAATCTCAGACATTGGAGCACAGCACTTGGCTGAAGCCATCAACAACAACAACTGTCAGCTACGCACGTTAGACCTCTCAGCAAATAACATCACAAAAGCAGGTGAGCAAAAGGCACGTAATTTACTAAGCAATAGTCAGTCTCAGTGTGAGCTATTAATTTAGGCCTCAGCAATTCCAATTAAAAACTAAAAAGAAATTATTAGAACCACTTACTATTCAAAATAACTGTGAGGTAACCAGCTCAGTGATAATTACAGTCCAACAACTCAAATCGTGAATGAAAGCAAACTTACTCTGTGAAGCGCTCAGAGCAGCGAGATTATTTGAACCGGATCGAAATGAAGAAAAATGAACCAATGAACATGTTTATTGAGAACAAACGATGTCAATCTTTTTTTTTTTTAAACAAACCAATAACATTGAAGTAAAAAACACAAAGCTTCCCGCAGAGAAAACAATCAAACCTCGGACCTCTCAGGAAACTTTTTCATTTCATGATTGGTTAGTTTCGATCCTAAATTCTCTTCATGCTTCTGTATGTTTTGATCGCTTGAGAGTTTTGTGTGAGATTTTAAGCGGATTAGATTAGTGAATACACCACAGTTTACCTGGTAGAATGCCAGGTTTTCTCTCTTTCATTTCTTGTGTTTTCTTCAATTCTTTTTTTGATTTTTTTTCATTTCTCGTGTTCTCTGCCATTTTTTTTATTAAAGTGAACCGGTTCAAGTAGTTTCACACTTTGGGCAAAATATTGAAA